TACGTTTTCTGTGGTGATACCTGGCAGTGTGTTGTGTGTATATATAGGGGATGAGAGTATATTGTATGTACTGTTACTGATGGTCGACGGTACAGCTTATACGATGATGGTTTTCATAACTCTGCTTCTTGTTGGCCTGGTGACGGCGGCCCCAGGTGAGTTATTAATGTGATTATGTTATCTGCACCTTGGTTATGGAATTATGTGTGCCTATCTAATGGGTAGTAGTAATGGCTTCTTATCCTTGCGGTTGGTAGTTACTATATACCCATCTTATGGGTGGTTGTCACCATATACCCATCTTGTGGGTGGTAGTCTCCGCATACCCATCTTGTGGGTGGTAGTCTCCGCATACCCATCTTGTGGGTGGTAGTCTCCGCATACCCATCTTGTGGGTGGTAGTCTCCGCATACCCATCTTGTGGGTGGTAGTCACCGCATACCCATCTTGTGGGTGGTAGTCTCCGCATACCCATCTTGTGGGTGGTAGTCTCCGCATACCCATCTTGTTGGTGGTAGTCTCCGCATACCCATCTTGTGGGTGGTAGTCTCCGCATACCCATCTTGTGGGTGGTAGTCTCCGCATACCCATCTTGTGGGTGGTAGTCTCCGCATACCCATCTTGTGGGTGGTAGTCTCCGCATACCCATCTTGTGGGTGGTAGTCTCCGCATACCCATCTTGTTGGTGGTAGTCTCCGCATACCCATCTTGTGGGTGGTAGTCTCCGCATACCCATCTTGTGGGTGGTAGTCACCGCATACCCATCTTGTGGATGGGGATGGGTAGTCATCCCATTCCCTATACCATTCTTGATTAATCTCTACACAGAGCGAAGCATAACTTCATAAAGCTCTACGTAGAGCGAAACGTTGACTCTGTCAACACTTCCTTTGCAACCTGTGTCGTTGCTTCACTGTTGTCAACAGTACGACAGTTAACCAACAGTTTAGGACAAAAAATAAAAAAAAATCACAATTTTGTAAACGTGTCTTTCTATAAGACCAGAAAATCTAAATCTTCACTATTCACTAGAGAAAATGTGCGAATAATTAAACACATAAGGGTAACACTTAAGTATCTTTACTATCGTCAATAAAAATACCTATGTTCTGCACAGGTGTTTAAATAAGACATTTGTACTACACTTAATTTTCTATATTTTCACAATATTAATTGTTTTTATGCTATCCTCAGCTGAAGAAGGAAGTTCCTCGCATCTTTCAAGACCTTCACTGGCCCAAGACCCCACCAGTGGGACGATTGGAGACCAGCGTCTTGAAGCCGCTCCGATCAGTGGTGTTAGAAACCCAGATGGGCATTTAATCATCCGTCAGCCTTCTTCAGTCTTGAGCCTGCAGGGTAGCGAGGCCTTTGGATCTTCAAGTGACCACCGTCCTCAAGCGTCAGCAGCTGACGAACGGGGAAACCAGAATGACCATTTCCGTCAGCAAGAAGACACAGTTTTCCAAGCGAGAGTACAGAGAAGCGCAGATACTAGCTTAGGATCCACTAGCGACCACCGTCCACTAGCATCACCTGGAGACGAAGCTGGAAATCAAGATGGCCAGTTGAACATTAGTGAACATTCTCCCGTTAACACGAGACTGCAAGGCAGCGGAGGCACTGCCTTCGGATCTACTAGCGACCAAAGGCCACTGCTGTCAGTAGCTGGCGGACACGGAAACCAAGACAGCCAGTTGAATATCAGGGACCATTTTGCCAACAACCCACACAGGCATGAGAACCGGGACGCTATCCTGGGCTCAGCAAGTGACCATCGTCCTGTGATAGTCCCAGTAGTTAGCCACTCAGACTCTGAGCGACAATTATCTGGATCCAATTATCCGGTAGGTAGTGAGAATGTGACATGAGAGAGAGAGAGAGAGAGAGAGAGAGAGAGAATAATTACATCATTTAAAGATTTCAGAAAGATCACAATCCTTCTAAACATGCAATGAAAGCAAAACAAAAAAAAATATGTAAAATACTTGTGCTTACATGAGGGTGGGAAGAGAGCCTTTTACTTTTTTATCCATATACACCTTGATAATTCACGAGAGTCCTTAAATCCACATAGAAGTAGACAGTTTTCCTCAGCAGATAGATTCAGTGTGTACTTGCAAGACCTCTGCTGTCTGTCTTTCCCATGTACTCTCATGTACTTCCATGTACTCTCATGTACTTCCATGTACTGTCATGTACTTCCATCTACCCTCATGTACTCTCATGTACTTCCATGTACTCTCATGTACTTCCATGTACTGTCATGTACTCCCATCTACCCTCATGTACTCTCATGTACTTCCATGTTAAAGGACCAGTCCTTGTTTCCCCAGGTCGTGCAAGTGTCAGGCCTCAACATCCGTACTGACATTGAAAACGCCACTACTCTTGACCCCACTGACACCACCACTATCGAAGCTGCCACCACCACTACCGAAGCTGCCACTGCCACCGACGCCACGGCCGTCAAACCCACCACCTCCACCGCCACTCAAGGAGCTTTGAGCTTCCTAAGCTCCCTCTTCAGCGGCGGGGTGATTATAACTAGTCTATTCAACACCTTGGGAATGTGAGGCAGTCAGATATGATCCATGGATCACGGGGGAACACTGCAGCAGGCCTATTGACCCATACTAGACAAGTCTTTCTCAAACTCAAACCCACTAAAAAATATTCTCCCAACCCATTATCAACACTACCCAAGGAATAAGCTTCGATAACCTTATTAACTCGCGTGCAAGTCCCGCTCAAATCTAACTCCTCTCACCCCTCGTATTTATCTAACTCACGAAATCGTAATGACGCGATTGCAAACAAACCATACCACGGGCGGGGATAGAACCCGTGATCAGAAATATACCTAGTTGGACGAATCTTATTGTGGCTACCTGGTCCAGTGGCTAACGAGATGGTCTGCAGTTTTGAGACTCTCTGATCGCGGGTTCTATCCCCGCCCGTGGTATGGTTTATCTAACTTAAATCTGAACTGTACTAGGCAGCCTGTTCAACTCATCCACTACTCTATTTCATCAGCCAAAGCTTGTTCCTGGATTAGTTTACCTCGTAGCTAAATCATAAATATCTGGGTTGAGCTTTAAAAGGCTTGTATTTAATATTTGATGTGAGGAACTTAACTCGTAATGATTATTTAATTACCTGTCTCAGGACAGGTAAATCCCTTGTGACAGGTGCCAAGATTGTAAAACCTTGATTGTGAATTCTTGCATTGTAAAGTGTTGACTGTTGAATTCGGTATTATTATTATTTTCTAGTTAGTGATATTGTTATTTTCTAGTTTAGAAATCTGAGCAGCTAGTTTGTGTACCAAAAGCTCATGCTAGAAATAGTAAAAATGGTAAAAATATGTACTCATTAGATTTACAGTTGGTAAATAGTTAAATGTTTGAGATTTGACAAGTGTCTCCGGACACCGGTCTCTGTCAGATGGTGACCCTCTGTATTGTTGGCTTGCCATAGTTAGGTTCCACACAACATGTAAACAACACAGAATCACTACCTTCTAGAGTTCTAAGTTCATTCCTGTTTATGGTAATTTACAGTTAAGTCACTCACGAGTCAACAGGGATACCTGGCGGACAGTGTATACCGTCTCCCAACACGATGACCATCTCTCCAACAACAGTCAGGTCACCACAAATGCTGCAGACGCATCCACAACCGATACGGTAGGTCACCTTATCTAATATACAGCCTCTCCTCACTTAATGACGGAGTTCCATTCATATGTGCAGCCAGCAGCAACAGCCTGGTTGATCAGGCTCTGATCCACCAGGAGGCCTGGTCACAGACCGGGCCGCGGGGGCGTTGACCCCCGGAACTCTCTCCAGATAAACTCCAGATAAGACTACGTCGGTAAACGAATTCGTCGCTAAGTAAGGAGCATGCTATAATGGTAGTGGGTTTGTTTCAACCATCTTTAATATTTTAATGTTACCTTTGTACCATTTATAACATTTCTGGTATATTTTAAATGTTTATACAGTAGTATACTGTATATTTTAACAAGCAGAATAGAGGAAATCAGCTGTAATATACATTATTTAGGCATGCATACTGGTCAGAGAGCCCATCGTAAGTCAGAGGCGTCGGTAAACGAGTACGTCGCTAAGTGAGGAGAGGCTGTATTAATTTTTATTTTTATTATTATCACACCGGCCGATTCCCACCAAGGCTGTATTAATATTATTATTAAAGTCAAGGGGAGATATACCTGTAAGACTGTGAATGTATCTTCTGATCCCCAAAGGTCTAGTTTCCTCAGTTAGGAATCCCTGACCTACTAGTAAATAGCTACCTGGGTGTTAGCCCCTCCTACATCTGCTGCCCGTGTTCGCCTAGCAGGAAATAGGTACCTGGGTGTTATACAACTGCTGTAGGTGACATACTCAGGAACCCAATTAAAATAATCACACTGTGACTTTACTGGTTATTCTGAATTACTAAAGTTTTTATTTGATAAATGGATATAAGGTTTAGATACATAATTATTCTTCAAAACATGTCTGTAACTGGTTTCCAGGGGTTTCATATCCTGTATTCTTGTTGATTTCCTGTTCAACCAAGCAGTTGCTGTTAGCATCTAGCTGACCTTCGCAGACATGAATTACCATAAATTCCATGTTACTTACTTTGTTATATTTTGAATTGTTGTATTTATATTGTATTTAGATTTAGATTTGTATTTGATGCAAAGTGAGCCAGTAAGAAATTGGAAAAATCAGCTCAAGGCCTTTCGTTCAATTGTCATTACTTCATCAGGAGCTTTGCAATGGAAAAAATCATGAAAGGGAATTAAAATGCTTTGTAAGCTAGTGTAGTGCGGTTACCACCTCCACGAGTACTAGACCGGACTCAAGCATAGTCCACGTCTCCACTCCAGGTCGAAGATTACTAGTCAGGAAGTGTAAGAAGCGAGGAGAACTGGTACAAAACTCACCAGATATACCATACTGAAAATAGTGATCAGAATTAAATACTGCAACGAATTTGTACACTTGGCTATGGTGTACACAACGAACTTGTACACAAGGTTATGGTGTACACAAAGACCTTGTACACAAGTTTATGGTGTACACAGCGAACTTGTACACAAGGTTATGGTGTACACAAAGACCTTGTACACAAGGTTATGGTGTACACAGCGAACTTGTACACAAGGTTATGGTGTACACAGCGAACTTGTACACAAGGTTATGGTGTACACAATGAACTTGTACACAAGGTTATGGTGTACACAAAGACCTTGTACACAAGTTTATGGTGTACACAGCGAACTTGTACACAAGGTTATGGTGTACACAAAGACCTTGTACACAAGGTTATGGTGTACACAGCGAACTTGTACACAAGGTTATGGTGTACACAGCGAACTTGTACACAAGGTTATGGTGTACACAACGAACTTGTACACAAGGTTATGGTGTACACAAAGACCTTGTACACAAGTTTATGGTGTACACAGCGAACTTGTACACAGGGTTATGGTGTACACAGCGAACTTGTACACAAGGTTATGGTGTACACAATGAACTTGTACACCACAGCCTTGTGCACCAATATGCACCTACGAGGGTAGGAACTGCCGTCTCTTATGTACAAATTCGTTGGATTATCTTATTTTTGGTCATTATTTTTAACATGGCTAGTGAGTTTTCTATTTAAACTGGTTTCTGACACTTTCTAACATTCACGTGCACTACGCTTGAGTCCAGTTTAGTACTAGTGGTGCTGGTAATCTTATTACACTAGTCTACCCTTGATCATTTTATTCCTTTCACGATTTTTTCGACTGCAAAGCTCCTGATGAAGTACCGGCAAATGTGTTAAAGTTCTTCGGTTGATTTTCCACCCTCTTAGTGGCTCGTTTGCGATCGTTTGCACTGCATTTTGTATTTCAATTTTTTTGCTTTGGATTATATCTATGCTTACATTTAATTGGAAATTCTCCATTTACTTGAAATGATTCTGTATTAGTTACCCACTAACAATGATGGTATTAACAGCCGACTACAGTAACTGTGTCTTCCACTGAGATACCAACACCACTGCAGTAACTGTCTCCACCACCACTCACGTCCCCTAGGCCTACTGAATTTGCTGTGTGCACCAACACAGCCTTGTTCAGTAGCCTGTGTCTGGGTGTTCATGCCAGTACTTGGATCTATAAGCAAGTCTTTCGAGTACTCATTATCTAAATCTACTAAGTTTTTTTATAATATGTTAAGTTTGTTATGAATAAAGATAAAATGCAATATAAACAGTTTATATTAATTAACCTGATTTATATTTGTTGTGAAGAATAGAGGGCGTCTGTGAGTTATGACTGATTAGGTTAGTCATCCTTCTCAAGTTATTTATGGAGTTTAGCCCAGAAACCTGACATCTCATATCTGCCTTGAATTCTTACCTCTGTTACGCATGGGTAGCTGTTTTGAGCCAGTTGCAGCTATGTTGATCTCTGGAGGCGGGAGGGGTGCGGCAAGACCCACAAGGGCAGGGAATGCGCATTCAGTGGTGGCTAAAGCTCCCGCTTCACACGTTGAGTGTCCTTGTTCGATTCCCAGCGAGGGTAGAAACATTGGGTGTGTTTCCTGACACCGGTTGTCTATGTTCACCCACCAGTAAAATGGGTACCTGGGTGTTAGTGGACTGGTGTGGGTCGCATCCTGGGACAAAATTGACCTAATTTGCCCGAAATGCTCAGCATAATTACTACAATATAGAAAGTCCTTTGTTATGCTGAGCATTTCCCGCAAATTAGGTCAGTTTTGTCCCAGGATGCGACCCACATCAGTCGCCTAACACCCAGGTACCAATTTTACTGACGAGTGAACATAGACAACCGGTGTATCGAACCCAGACCCTCGCTGTGTAAAGCGAGAGCTTTAGCCACCAGGCCACGGCTGTGAGAGGTGATGTAGACACTAAGCTAGATTAATCTATGTCTAACTTTGCTTAAATACATATAAATAGCAGGTGTGTGATACATTAGCCTTCCCTGTATTCCAACTCACTCTCTCTCTCTCTCTCTCTCTCTCTCTCTCTCTATATATATATATATATATATATATATATATATATATATATATATATATATATATTATATATATATATATTATATATATGTATATATATATATATATATATATATATATATATATATATATATATATATATATATATATATATATATATGTATATATATATATATATATATATATATATATTATATATTATATATATATATATATATATATATATATATATATATATATATATATATATAAAATGTCGTGCCGAATATGTAAAATTGGTCAATTAGCAAGAACTCATTTAAAATTAAGTCCTTTCTGAAATTTTTTCTTATACGTTTAAAGATATATTTTTTTCATTAATGTTAATGTAAAAATTTTTAATTTTGCTCCAAAGAATCTTAGAAAACTTACCTAACCTTATTATAACAAGAACAATTTATTTTAGCCTAACCCAACTAAATATATTTTAGATTTGTTTACAATAATTTAATACTAAACAAACACAATGAAATATATTTTTTTCGTTAGGTTCAGAATGATTTTGGCGAAATTATTGCATACACAAATTTTCACTTGTCCTATATGGCAAGATGAACGTTGCTATTTAAGCCAAGATCGCAAGTTCTGCCTATTCGGCACGACATATATATATATATTATATATATATATATATATATATATATATATATATATATATATATATATATATATATATATATATATATATATATATATATATATATATATATATATATATATATATATATATATATATATATATTATATATATATATATATATATATATATTATATATATATATATATATATATATATATATATATATAATATATATATATATATATATATATATATATATATATATATATATATATATATATATATATATACAAGCATTAAGTGTAATTCCATGAGTGGGTCAGATATAAAGTTGTGTGACTAGTTTAAGAATCACTTGACGTACCTCTTACATTAACATTCACTTGAGTGTTATAGTTCTCTGTACTGATTAACAACCTCAGGTTAGTGATTCCGTCATCCCTTGAAGGAAAATGCTTCCATGCTGACGAAGAGCTTTGGATCCTAGGAATGGGTGCTTCACCCCTTCTCACGGATCAGTGACGTATACCTCCTTTTGTCCCTCAGGAGGTATACATGGTTTATCACCGTAGATATACAACCATATTGGTATACTTGGAGGGTTGTATAGCCTGAGCTTGCTACCATCTGCAGCTCATAAGACTGCCATCCCCACGAGACCATTTGAGGCGGGGTAGATGGCAGACCAGAGGCCTAGCTTCTCCCTACGAGCCCCGTGAGGGCGGGGAATGTGGCTAGGCCTGGGGACACTTGGTCCCAAAGATGAGGAGGTACTGTACCTCCTCCCATGGGAGACTTACGTCTCGAGACACTCCCCAGATAGGGAGCCAAGGCCGGGTCACCACTACTTGGAAAAGACCCGGGCCGGGAGAATACCGGCGAATAAAAAAAAAAAAAAAAAAAAGGGTTGTATAGTCACCTTTCTTATGAGGCTCTTCTAAATAGATGGATTTTTTGTGAATATAATTGAGTAAATTCATCCAAAATTGAACAGCAGGTACTACGAAATCCTTTCCATTTGCTATTCCATTTCAATCGCATTTACCAAATATTCCATTGTGTAAACTGGCTTTATAAGAGAGGTGACTGTCTCTCAGTATGTTTGTACATTGTACTAGATATGTATTGCTATCTTACTTGGGTTCATTTACAGGCCAGGAGCTGTTATCCAACTTCAATTTATTTCAAAATCTGGCAGTATTGAAGATGTGGTACTACCCCCTCCCCAGGATGCTACCCACAAGAGTCGACTAACACCCAGGTACCTATTTACAGCTAGGTAAACATGGGCATCAGAATTGTTTCAAGTAAATGGAGGCTTCATTACTAGATTAAATCTTGCAGATTTAGAGTGTATGAAGAATGTGGCAACCCCGAGTAGACAGACCTGGGGCTGCTTGTCCCGCTTGCCGAACTTACGGGGGTTTAAATGGTCTTGGAAATCAAACCTTTCGATTTTTTCGCAACTGTTAAGTCACATGCAAAACAAACAAAGGGTGAGTTGAATGATAGCTCTAGGCCTTTCGTGTTGCAATCAACACATCAGGGGCTTGCAGTGTTGTAGTATTACAAGGTCCTAGGACCATGAAAAAGATCCCAGGACCGTGAACAAGGGCCCAGGACCGTGAAAAAGGTTCCAGGACCATGAAAAGTCCCAGGACCATGAAAAAGATCCAAAGACCATCAACAAGGTCCCAGGGCTATGACAAAGGTCCCAGTACAGTTAACAAGGTCTTGGAACCATGAAAAAGATCCCAGGACCATTAACAAGGTCCCAGAATCATCAACAAGGTCCCAGGACCATGAACATGGTCCCAGGAACGTGCACGAAATTAATGGACTGAACACATCGACTCCAGGTTGAGGGACTGATTACCCCAAAATCCTCCTCTTTCTTCTTCCGTTCTTCCCTGTATTGGACTGATGAAGCCACTGTGTAGCGAATCGTTTCCTAAATGAAGATTCCCAAATGCTGTTGATGTTGAATTAGACACATGTGCAACTCATGTTGCACATGTGTCTAATTCAACAACATGTCGGTTCTCTGAACTATTCATCTACAGTTCCCAAATGCTGCAAAAGTCTCTCATTCTTCAACTCGTCAATTTTCTAAATCCTTTACCACATATGTAAGTTCCATTAACAATGCCAAGCTTTTAAGACTACAGACCAGCCAAGCAGAAGAGGTTGTCGCTAGTTATCACAAGAAGTTGTCGCTAGTTATTGCAAGAATCTGTTGCTAGTTATTGCAAGAATCTGTTGCTAGTTATTGCGAGAATCTGTTGCTAGTTATTGCAAGAATCTGTTGCTAGTTATCGCTGGTTATCACAAGGAATCTGAATAATAATAATATAATAATATCTTTATTTCTACAAGTACATGTACAAGGTATACATGTACAAGGTATACAAGTACATGTACAAGGTATACAGACCAGAGCTGACTTGGCAGAATTGGCTTTAAAAAACTGAGAAGAGGGCACCTGCCCATTCCAGTAGCTCCACAAGCCTTTCCCTAGCTACAGTTCACCAGCAGTGAAAGTTTGAAGCCTGTCGCATGAGGCGTTCTCGAGTTACAAAACAAAATCTTGGAGAAAGATATCACTGTACATGAGAACATGACCGGCTCTACAAGAAAGCAGTAGAGTAAATGTAGTATGTAAGGGCTCACTAAACTCAAAAAATTTGGCAGTCACACAAAAAAATGCGAATTTTCAATATTTCTCTGAATTTTTTTCTCACTTTTATTTCAGATTCCTTAGAATCCAGCGGGGAAAGTTTCGTTTGTGTTAAGAAACTGGAATTCGTAATAATTTGGATCTTTCTTTCAAAGAACAGAATAAGATAAAGGTTAAGATAAGATTTCGTTCGGATTTTTAACCCCGGAGGGTTAGCCACCCAGGATAACCCAAGAAAGTCAGTGCGTCATCGAGGACTGTCTAACTTATTTCCATTGGGGTCCTTAATCTTGTCCCCCAGGATGCGACCCACACCAGTCGACTAACACCCAGGTACCTATTTGCTGCTAGGTGAACAGGACAACAGGTGTAAGGAAACGTGTCGAAATGTTTCCACCCGCCGGGAATCGAACCCGGGCCCTCCGTGTGTGAAGCGGGAGCTTTAGCCACCAGACCACCGGGCCACCACCCAGACCACCGGGCCACAACAAGATGACAGAGTGGATAATAAGAACCTTCAAAATAAGGGAAATAATTGTTATACTGTTGGCAGAATTACCGACAATATGTTAGGTAAAAAGAACACATATGTAACTAATGTGACATTTTATTGAGGCAACGTTTCGGTCTCCAGGAGCTTTGTTACGGCTTGACAAAACTCCTGGAAAGCGAAACAGGACAAGTATTTTCTGACGCGGGTCTTAGTCATATGATGACCCACAGTTAGAGCTTTAGGTCATCTGACCGAGGCCTTCCACTGGCTTACCACTCCACTTTAAAAATTAAAATTAATATCTTATCAGTATCTTCACTGTCACTTTTGGTTCCCAAAAAATAATTCCGTTTCAGCCATGAAGATTTTTTTGTCGACTTTGATCATTTAAAAAAAAATAAAATGCTGATTCTATTTTTTTTAATTTTATATATATTTTTAAGTTATATATAATTTTTTTTTTAATTTTATCCACTAAAACTCACATATTTTCGGTAAAATAAACATTTATTTTAAATAAGGGCCTAATATTAAACATTTTTAATTAATTGTCGGTACATAAATTAATAATAATAATAATAATTAATAATAATAATAATAATAATAATAATAATAATAATAATAATAATAATAATAATAATAATAATAATAATAATAATTCTACATGTCCCAGGATGCGACCCACACCAGTCCACTAACACCCAGGTACCTATTTTACTGCTAGGTGAACATGGACAACAGGTGAAAGATAACTAACACTCAGGTACCTACTGACTACTAGGTGAACATAGACAGCAGGTGTCTTAAGGAAACATGTCCTAATGTTTCCACCCGTACCGGGGATCGACCCCGGACTTCATTTTGTGAGCTGAGTGCGCTAGCAATCGAACTGTGATGAATAAACGGAAGAACGAACAGGAGGCTCGAACCGTGGTCCTGGTGGTGAACATATTGCAACTGGCCTCGATGGTAGGCCTATGTGCAGTTTTTCTGTCGTAAGCCTAGTTAAGGTACCCAGTTACTGCAGTAGGCCTAGGCGATAGACCTAATTGATCGTAGGAGTTATGGGGGTACTGGCAGTGGTGGTTCCAGTGGTCGACTTGCTTGAGGAACCAGGAGCTGGAGACTCACCTCCCTCAACCCGCATATCTTTTTTAAGCTGTTGACAAAAAAATAGATGAGTTTCCCATATCATATTATTATTATTACTATTATTATTATTATTATTATTATTATTATTATTATTATTATTATTATTATTATTATTATTATTATTATTGTTATTTATTATTATTATTATTATTATTATTATTATTATTATTATTGTTATTTATTATTATTATTATTATTATTATTATTATTATTATTATTATTATTGTTATTTATTTATTATTATTATTATTATTATTATTATACTCGAGGGGAAGTGTTAAACCCACACGAGGCACACGGCGGGGAAGGAAACGGGAGGTAATCAGCTTTGATTCGAAGAGGGGGGGGGAGGAAGAATAGGTAGCTCCAATGCCTTGGATCGAGAGCCCTTCACCGGCATCATAAGGCACCTACCACAAGGAACAGATACGTAATTAAAAATTCGCTTATATTACTCGCAGCAGAAGCTGGTACCTGAGTCCATGGAGTTTAAAGTAGATGATTGTATTATAGACAACACTTTTCGCCCCTGGGCGAAACGTTGGATATGATAAGTTTACCCTATGTCCTGTGTCTGTTTCCGATACTTGTCGACAATACCTGGTGTGGTTGAGTTTAAAGTCTATCTACTACACGATGGTCATTAAGGCTGCAGGTCACCTGTTCACCACCAGTCAAGAATACTTTAATACCTAAAATAGTGAGTAATATAAACTACCAGTGTATATACACTGAGTGACACACACTTTTCTCAGTGTATATATACAGACATACACATCTCTCGGTGTATATATACCAACAAATACATCTCACGTGACTTAACATAAAGCTTTAAAGAGGGAGAAATGTCCATATAAACGTCACAGTTATAGCCAGTTATGCCAGTACGCTAAAGCGTTGCTGTCGACATGCCCAAGAACGCAGCTCCAGCTGGTAAGCTTACCCCGCCTTTGAAGAGTGTGCTGAAGTTCAGCGTTGGTGGGATTGTGGTTGTGGTGGTTCCGAAGGTGGTAGCTGTGGTGCTAGCTGTGGTGGTGGTGGCTACGTGGGAGGAGTTTCTAGTGTGGTCGGTGGTAATGTCGTCTGCTAGGAGATTAAGACCAGACAGCCGTAAAACCTGTAAAAAGAATCATTTTGATTTCTAAGACCGCCGAAAGATGTATACACGGTTAGTTGGTTATCTAGATTTAAAGTCTGTCTACTAACCAGGGTTCCCAATGGAAATACAAGGGCCATTAAGGCTGGTTGGTTACTTAACAGGGTTCAAAGTCTGTTTACTACACAAGGGTCATTAAGGCTCTTTGGTTGATTAGTGGGATTTAAAGTCTGTCTACTATGCGAAGGTAATTAAGGCTGGTTGGTTAGCGAAAGGGGTTCGAAGTCTCTCTACTAGACGAGGGTCATTTAGACTGGCTAGTTTCTTAATGGGGTTTGATGTCTATCTATTAAATGAGGGTCATTAAGGCTGCATGTCACTTGTACACCACAAGTCAAGAATACTGTAATACATAAAACAGTGCTCAATGTAAACTCTCAGTGTATAAACACTGATATACACCTCCCAGTGTATATATCCATATAACAGGTATGGTATTAAAAGTACTTTTTAACAGAGCAAAGTTTCCGTTAGGGCAACGTTTCGCTCATTTATACGCAAAACCTCGTTCCAGTAAAGCCTAGTTCTGTTAGTATTGTGTCTGTCCAGGATAAGTTTATTTGCCTCCTGTTAGAATAAATAATATTTTTTTTGGATAAACTCTTATATTTATATTGATAAATGTAAGAATTTTTTCTATGAATATCCGAAAAAATGCGATTAATGGCTTTTAATTTGCTTCTCAAATTAATTTTCTGGTTTTAAGTTCTTTAAACCCGATGCTGTAGCCAGGTCAGGACACCCATAGACTCGGGTATGTCGCAGGATATATACATCGAGAGTTATAATTATGTCTCTCAGCGTATATACATTGACAGTAATCTAAATTCCTGAAGATTGAGACACTTATGCAACATATGGGAATCTTTATTCAGGAAACGTTTCGCCGCACAGTGGCTTCATCAGTCCAATACAAAGAAGAAAGGCGTAAGGAGAGGAGGAGTTTGAGGTAATCAGTCCCTCAGCCTGGAGTCGATGTGTTCAGTCCATCAATCTTGTAGAATGTACAGCATAGGGCCGTAGACGTGGCTTATATACTGTAGTCAGGTGAGGTGAAGCAGGCGGAGGCAGGGTCATAGTGGCACCATCCACTAGTCGAAGTAGGTCTTCGTCCAAAGGTTGGACAAGTGTTGAAGAATTCTTTGTAACAAGATCCCATGATGCTGCAGTGTCTGACAGTTGTGATGAATGGTTTGAAAAACCGACAAGTTAAAGATTGAGACACTTATGCAACATATGGGAATCTACGGCGCTATGCTGTACATTCTACAATATTGATGGACTGAACACATCGACTCCAGGCTGAGGGACTGATTACCTCAAACTCCTCCTCTCCTTACGCCTTTCTTCTTTGTATTGGACTGATGAAGCCACTGTGCGGCGAAACGTTTCCTGAATAAAGATTCCCATATGTTGCATAAGTGTCTCAATCTTCAACTTGTCGGTTTTTCAAACCATTCATCACAATCTAAATTCCTGCTTTAGAGATTAAAATGATTGAAATAATTAAGCTTAAGATTCAAAATCAAATTATAATCAATTAGGGATTAAAATATTCCGAAGTTAAAAAGGTTACGTGTAGCGTGCAGCTCCCCGACGGTCGTCTGCAACAGGTGACCTACACTGTCAGTGGTGACTCTGGCTACTTGGCTGAGGTCACCTACCAGGGAGAAGCCAGGTACCCGACCTACCAGCCAGCCTATAGGCCAACTCCAACCTACACCCCTGTCGCAGCCTATAGACCAGTTCCAGCCTTTAGGTCTTCCCCAGTCTATGGCTAAATCTTTTTCGTGCACCATGAACCAAATATACCGTTAATTTACAATAAAATTGCCATCAATTTATATGATGTGGTCTATGGACAGAATAATATATATATATATATATATATATATATATATATATATTATATATATATATATATATATATATATATATATATATATATATATATATATATTACCTGGAGTTTACCTGGAGTATTATATATATATATATATATATATATATATATATATATATATATATATATATATATATGTCGTGCCGAATAGGCAGAACTTGCGATCTTGGCTTAAATAGCAACGCTCATCTTGCCATATAGGACAAGTGAAAATTTGTGTATGCAATAATTTTGCCCAAATCATTCTGAACCTAACGAAAAAAATATATTTCATTGTGTTTGTTTAGTATTAAATTATTGTAAACAAATCTAAAATATATTTAGTTAGGTTAGGCTAAAATAAATTGTTCTTGTTATAATAAGGTTAGGTAAGTTTTCTAAGTTTCTTTTGGTGCAAAATTAAAAATTTTTACATTAACATTAGTGAAAAAAATATATCTTTAAACGTATAAGAGAAATTTTTAGAAAGGACTTAATTTTAAATGAGTTCTTGCTAATTGACCAGTTTTACATATTCGGCACGACATATATATATATATATATATATATATATATATATATATATATATATATATATATATATATAATATATATTCCTTGTAACAGAACCACCATTATAATTTCTTCGAAATTATGCTATAATTAAAACCTTAAATAGAAGACGTTTGTTATTTCTCACCTTGATAAATTAGACACATGTGTAACACCTGCGAATCTTTATTGAGGAAACGATACACAAGTGTTGAACATGTGTCTAATTCATCAACTTGTCGGTTCTCTAAACCATTCATCTATATTTCCCAATTTATTCCGTTCTATAACCAGTGTCAGTTATTTGTCATGTGGACGTATATACTGTAAACTAAATGTAAATATGTGAGGTGTAAAGGTTATGGACTACACGAGGGTCACTAAGACCAAATTTCAGCTGTGGAAAAGCGTCAAATAAGCTTCCAATAAATAAGGATTAATGTGGACTTTGAATTGTCCACTTACTATGACTCACTGCTTTAGTTCAATTGTTCGAGTCAATAAAGAGGATTCAAAGAATTGGATGGATCACTTGAAATGTAAAGTCTATTGTTGATGTGATGCGGTGATTCGGATAGACTGTTCAGTTAGGTTATAATAACAATCTTTATGTACAAGGTATACAGACCATCGCTGACATCAGTGACATACTACTGTATGGAAAGCCGCTTGTTATGCTGAGCATTTCCCGCAAATTAGGTCAGTTTTGTCCCAGGATGCGACCCACACCAGTCCACTAACACTATTTTACTGCTAGGTGAACATGGACAACAGGTTCCTTAAGGAAACACATCCAACTGTTTCCACCCGTACGAAGATCGAACCACAGACCTCAGTGTGTGAGCTACCAGTCGAGCTACGGGACACCTAAGGTTAGGTTAAGTTCATCAAGAATCAGCCCAATTGTTCCCAACCCGCCACTGGAGCTTTCGGTCATTTGACCGAGGCCTTCCACTGGCTTACAAGTCCAACACTTCACAAATCAGAGAGAATCGCTGGATGAATCAGTCCTCCGAAGACTTATTCCTGTGTCTAGGGTCACTGATTTATTATGTATGTTGTGATGGTGGTAGCTGGTGGTCCTGGCTTCCCTAGCCTGGGCTACTGTATCCCAGCTTCCTACAGGCCAGAACCGTCCCATCAGGTATTTATAAGAAGAAGAAACAAGGACACCTATCAGGCAGCAATTCGGTATCTTTATCGTGCGAGCGTTTGTTGACAATTCGGCCACACAGTGGGCCTTATCAGGTCACTAACAGATCAGTGTATTGTGAAGATACTGCAGTGTACTGTAAAGATACTGCAGTGTACTCTAAAGATACTGCAGTGTACTGTAAAATACTGCTGTGTATTGTGAAGATACTATAGTGTAGTAGCACAGTGTTGGTGTTCCTTCTTTGTAACTATCATGTACAGTAGAGTGGCAGCACATCGCTGGTGTTCCCACCATGCAACTATCATGTACAGTAGAGTGGCAGTACATTGCTGGTGTTCCCACCATATAATTATCATGTACAGTAGTGGCAGTACATTGCTGGTGTTCCCACCATGAAACTCATGTACAGTAGGGTGGTAGTACATTGCTGGTGTTCCCACCACGTAACTATCATGTAGAATAGTGTGGTAGCACACTGTACCACTGTATACTAATATGTACAGTAGTGTAGTAGAACACTGTTGGTGTTCCTGCTGTGTAACTATCATGTACAGCAGAGTGGCAGTGCATTGCTGGTGTTCCCACCTACATTGCTGGTGTTCCCACCATGTAACTGTCATGTACAGTAGGGTCGTAGCACATTGCTGGTGCTCCCATCATGTAACTATCATGTAGAATAGTGTGGTAGCACTCTGTCCCACTGTGTACTATTATGTACAGTAGTGTAGCAGCACACTGTTGGTGTTCCTACTGTGTAACTATCATGTACAGTAGGGTGACAGTATATTGCTGGTGTTCCCGCTAAGTACCCCATCGTCATCTCGAGTTTCATCTCTTTCGTTGTGGCTTGGCGAGTGTTGTAAACAATATGTATCAGAATTAAAAAGATTAAAAATGACTTTTTTAAAATTAATAGTTATTCTCTCGTTAGTTCTGTATTGGACTTGGGGGAAGAGAGACTACAGCCAGGGTTCTAGCAGGAGGGACGTCGAGTACCTTATTGAGCCAGAGGAAGCTGACTTCCCCTCGCTCCAGCTCCTCCTCAGCGATAAATACAGCGTCGAGGACGAGGATGACATTAGTGAAGAACAAGCTCTGTTCCTTGATGAGAGTGATGACCTCCGCCAGGAGGATGATGTGGGGGACCTTAACTGGTTGCAGGAAGAAGACGATGGGCTTCTCCTGTCTGCTGGTGATAGTGAGTGGGGAAGGTCCCAAGAGGAAGACGACGAAGATCATCGAGAATCTTACCTAGGCGATGAATACGAAGAATCGAGCTCAGAATTGAGCTTGTGGTGGAACTCCGAGGACAACGATGAAGACTGGTGGAGCTCCGAGGTGGACGGGGAAGGAGAGTGGAACAAGGACCGCGAGTTGTTGGAAGAGTTGAGCAACACCGAACTGAGCGGATGGAGTGTCCTAAGCGGGGACGACGATGAAGACTGGTGGAGCTCCGAGGTGGACGGGGAAGGAGAGCGGAACAAGGACCGCGAGTTGTTGGAAGAGTTGAGCAACACCGAACTGAGCGGATGGAGTGTCCTAAGCGGGGACGACGATGAAGACTGGTGGAGCTCCGAGGTGGACGGGGAAGGAGAGCGGAACAAGGACCGCGAGTTGTTGGAAGAGTTGAGCAACACCGAACTGAGCGGATGGAGTGTCCTAAGCGGGGACGACGATGAAGAATGGGGAAGCCAAGAGGCTGAAGAAGTCGTCGTGCTTCTTCCAGACAACTCTCCCGGGAATGCAGAAGAAAGTATAAGCGCTGATGACGGTCGCGTTGTTGAAGTATTACAGGAGGACGACGACCTCGGCAGCCAATCTTACCTAGGCGATGAATACGAAGAATCGAGCTCAAAAATGAGCTTTTGGTGGAACTCCGAGGACAACGATGAAGAATGGTGGAGCTCCGAGGTGGACGGGGAAGGAGAGTGGAACAAGGACCGCGAGTTGCTGGAAGAGTTGAGCAACACCGAACTGAGCGGATGGAGTGTCCTAAGCGGGGACGACGATGAAGAATGGGGAAGCCAAGAGGCTGAAGAAGTCGTCGTGCTTCTTCCAGACAACTCTCCCGGGAATGCAGAAGAAAGTATAAGCGTTGATGACGGTCGCGTTGTTGAAGTATTACAGGAGAAGGACGACGACCTCGGCAGCCAAGATGTTGAAGTTGTCGTGCTTCTTCCAGACGACTCTCCCGGGGAGGATGAAGAAGAAAGTATTAACGTCGATGACGGTCGCGTTATTAAAATATTACAGGAGGACGACGACCTTGGCAGCCAAGACGTTGAAGTCGTCGTGCTTCTTCCAGACGACTCTCCCGAGGATGGAGAAGAAAGTATAAGGGTCGATGGCGGTCGCGTTATTAAAATATTACAGGAGGACGACGACCTCGGCAGCCAAGAGGATGAAGTTATCGTGCTTCTTCCAGAGGTTGACGAAAGTCTCCTTGACCTTTTAAAGGAAAAGCATCACTGGGAGCAAAAAATCAGGTCCTTCGAAGTGCGTGACGCTAGAAGAGCTTCGAGAGACAAATTGTTTCATAAGTTAGATAGGTTACAGGACGCAGAACACGATCTCAGGATACAAATAGGGGATTCGTCCGTTCTATTGTCTCGCACGTATGAACAAAATAAGAAACTAAATGATGAATTATCTGATATCAGTCAATGGTTCATTGGCAGGGGTTTTGATTTAAATATCCTTGAGATTGAGCATAGAAGGCTCAGTGATGAGTTGGACCAGTTGGAGAGAAGGCTCAGTGATGAGTTGGACCAGTTGGAGAGAACTCTTGAGCAAGAAGAGGAGGACTTCGCGGCTCTCCAGCTTAATCATAAAAATCTGCGCAGTGATTACACTGATACTCACAGCAGATTTATTTCCCTCCTCCTGCATCCCATGGACGCACTACCTTACAACGACGGACCCTTTATAACAGTGAGAGATCAGCCCTCAAACCTGGGAAGGTGAGGTAGACAGCATCAGGGAACAAACCCTCTTCCCTGACGGTCCTCTCAAGACAGGGCTGCATCAGGGTCCCATCTATACCTGGAGATGGTTTCGGGGGTCAACGCCCCACGGCCCGGTCTGTGACCAGGCCTCATGGTGAACCAGGGCCCTGATCAACTAGGATGTTACTGTTGGCCACACGTACCCCGACGTTATGGTCCATAAGTACAACATTCCCACCTCTTTCTACACTTTATTTTCTTTCTTCTACGACACCTTGATACGCTTTTTTGGCTGCGTAACGTAAATAAAAAGTCCTGACTATTAAAAGGTTAAACAACCTGCCTAGTCTAGGGGCATTTAAACTATTTAAAATGGAAAAAAAAAACTTGTTCACCACAATTCAAAAATATTTTCTGTAATACCTAAAACAGTGATTAATGTTAATTCTCAGTGTATATACACTGACATACACCTGTCAGTGTATATATCCTTATGACAGGTATGGTATTAAAAAACTTTTTTAACAGAGCAAAGTTTCTGTTAGGGCAACGTTTCGCTCATTTATAAGCAAAACCTCGTTCTAGTAGAGCCTAGTTCTGTTAGTATTGTGTCTGTACAGGATAAGTTTATTTGCCTCCTGTTAGAATAAATAATTTATTTATTTTGATAAATGTAAGAATTTTTTTCCATGAATATCCGAAAAAAATCGATTAATGACTTTAAATTTGTTTTTCAAATTAATTTTCTGGTTTTGAGTTCTTTAAACCCGATGCTGTAGCCAGGTCAGGACACCCATAGACTCAGGTATGTCGCAGAATATATACATCGAGAATTATATGTATATCTCTCAGCGTATATACATTGAGAGTAATCTAAATTCCTGCTTTAGGGATTAAAATATTCTGGTCTGGTGGTGAAGAGGTTACGTGTAGCCTTGATGATCCTACTGTGGTCTATAGACTTTAAAACCTCATTAACTAGCCTGGGGTGTCGGAGCATCGAACCTCCTCAAATACACTTGAAAAGATTCAGATCATCTTTTTGTTGGGGTTTATAGGGGCCACTAACAGCTCACTCCGTATTGAACGCTAAGGATTTAGATTTCAAATTCAAATTCATTTATTTCTTTGCAAGTAGTACATTGAGATTATATTTTTATAATAATGGGTTGCAGTGCAAGGAGAGCCTCTATTATGCCTAGGCATTATGGGCTGACTTAATTTAATGGCTTACTGACTACTTATCACTAAAGAAATTATCATAGTAAGTTGGCGCATAATGCCTAGGCATAATAGAGGTTCTCTTTGCATTGCAACCCACTATTGTAAATATAAAATCTCAATGAACTGTTTGCAAAGACAAAATAAATAAAAATAGTTGATAATTGTTTGTATATTGTATTTTCCCCTCTCCTTACTCTATTCCTATTTCTGTACATCCCGGTCCTTTCAGGGAAGGTGTTTTGATGTTAGAGAAGCGTTTCAGAGAGAAGGAATTACTGCCCTCTTCTTAGATCAAATTTGATTACATCCCACTCATCCCAGGCTCTGAATGACCCTTCATATGTAAGACACTTCCACTTACCGTGTAACTGGGAGACTGACGAATGTCCGGTTTGCTCTCTTGATCGAGGTGCTCCACTGCTGGGATTACTATAGGTCGCTGTTCACTTGGGGACCCGAATATGGCCTCTTCATGTTCTTTTGGGAAGTTGGGAGACTGCTGACGGAGGTTCAACTGGTTTTCTTTGTCCGTGGAGTCGACATCTTGGTGGTCGGTCTGGGATCTGACAGTGCTGCTTCCAAATCCTTGTTGGCGTCTTCTGAAGATGGGAGACTGCTGACGGAGGCTCAACTGGCTTTCTGTGTTTTTGGAGTCGACTGATGGGAAATCATCTAAGTGGCCGCTCTGGGAACCCAAGGTGCTACTATTGCTCCCATGTTGACGTCTCCTGAAGCTCGGAGATTGCTGACGGAGGTTCAATTGGATGTCTTTGTTTGTGGAACCGAATGTGGTTACATCTCGTTGGCCGTTCTGGAAGCCGAAGGTGTTGCTACTGCTTCCTTGTTGGCGTCTCCTGGGAAACTGCTGTCCGAAGTTCAGCTGACCATCTGGACTAAGTTGTTCGTTTACAGGGCCGTTAGGGAAGCCGAAGTTGTTCCCACTGCCTACATGTAGTCTCGTGAATATGGGAGATTGTTGACCAATCCTAAAATGTCCATCCGGATTGTTGCGGTCGTTCACAGGGATGCTGGGTCCGAAAGTGGGAGCACTGCCTACCTGTCTCCCGAAGGGAATTTGTTGACTAAGTCTGAACTGGTTATCTAGATTGTTGCGGTCGTTCACAGGGATGTTGGGTCCGAAGGTGGGAGCACCGCCTACCTGTCTCCCAAAGGGAATTTGTTGACCAAGTCTGAACTGGCTATCTTGATTGTTACGGTCGTTCACAGGGACGATAGATCCAAAACTGGTGCCACTGCCCACTTGTCTCCTAATGATGGGTGATTGTTGACGTAATCTGAACTGTCCATCTTGGTCATCCAATGGGATCGCAACAACACGCTGATCACTTTGGGACCCGAAAGCACCGCCTTCAGTGCTACTTAGGGTCTTGAAGACCGGAGACTGTTGCCCGAAGTTCAACCGTCCGTCTTGGGTTCGCGGCCCGTTCAGAGGGAAGCTGGAGACACCGAAGTTGGTGCTGCCTCCACGGATCTGTGGTCTCGTAAAACCTGGAGACTGATCGTTGCGGTGGTTGAACTGATCAGCTTGGTTCCTGTGGTTGACTGATGAGACAAGTGAGGCATCTCCTTGGCTGCCGGTGAACCTGACGGTGGTGTCCAGACCAGGCTGATCTATAAAGTCTAAGGAGGAACGCCAGTTATTCCCGAATAAACCATCGTCACCTGAGGGACAAAACCTTGCGATGTAAACATACATTTAAGAGACAATCTTCGGATTACCAAACTCGGAGAATTATTAACCCCTAGAAGACTATTAACACTAGAGGATTACTATTTCAAAGCAAGCAGTGTGGCTCATTTATATTGGGGTCCTGACCTCTTTCCCAACAACAACGTTGTATGAGCCCTATCGGGTTTAACCCTTAAATGGATAATAATAATAATAATAATAATAACCTTCCCCAGAATGCAACCCACAAGAGTCAAAGAACTCATACTTAATACTTTTAGGTACATATGTCTTGAGTAGTGTCCTGGGTCTAGATTTAGGAAGAATGTAAGCCTCTTGATTTGTCAGCCCGAAATGTATTGCATGTAAAAATCACTGCCCTGCAAGTTTGAGGACTCACTTGCCACCCGTTTTGTGATTTGATTTATCTCTGAATATCACTATTTCCAGGCTCTAGCTAGACCACAAGTACCTCTGGATGACATTGCTGTCAGGCTCCAGCTGGGCTTCAAGCACCTCTGGATACCTCTACTGCCAGGCTCCAGCACCTCTGGATGTCACTACTGCCAGGCTCCAGCTGGGTTACAAGTACCTCTGGGAGACTGTATCAGCAGCTGGCATAGACATAACTAAATGTAAAGTTTGCTAGATGGACTCTTGTCACGCCCTGCGTCATTATGTGCTGGAATGCACAAATCTTCAGGGTATCTGGAAAAATACCCTGACTCTTCCTACTGTTAATGACTCCTAACAACGTAAGCGTATCCATATTCAACCATGCCTTGCTAAAATTCAAAACCTCTTACAAACTACATTTTAATGTTGCTAATTGAATTCATGCCTGTTTTGTCAACTTGTTACGACTGTAACGAGATCATAAATAATTAGTCTATTATGACTGTAATTTGTAGTAACTGTTACAAGGCTGCCCAGTCAGTGGACCCATTATGTGCCTCTGTAACCCAGAGAATGACAGTGGAGCAAAAAATAAGGCTACTATATTATGCCTGAAGAGAATATTGTAACTTACTCGGACTAGAGGTGACTGTGGCAGTAAAGATTAAAGCTGACAGCCATACGAGGACCCACATCTTGGGAAGTCTTGTACCGCTGACCACACAGAGAGAAGTGAACATACTGGTGAACTCTAAGTCTATTTATGCATCACCAAACCCCAGATTTCACCACCGGAAAAAGCAAAGTCAAGCTCCCCAAAATAAACAGAGAATAATGAATCGTATGTAAATTGTATTGCATTGAGAGGTCGGATCACGCCCCTGCACACATTAAAATATATTACGAATGTGTTTTGAAGAAATTAATGAACGAAACAGGAAGGAAATACATTATTTGTGTGTCAGGGCAATTTGACCTGAGTAATGCTATGGAGAAATCTCCTGAACTTACACTGCTATGTAGACCTTTTTGTGTTATGTTGTGTTTGTAGGAAATGTTTGTAAATTGTGAGTTCATTACCTTTGTAAATTGTGAGTTCATTACCTTTGTAAATTGTGAGTTCATTACCTCTGTAACTTGCTCAGCTATCAAAACTTTGGAGTCCAGTCCCTGGACCAATTATGTACCTGTCCCGGAACTCGGTTGGTAGCGCACTCAGCTCACACACTGAGAGCCTTGGTCCGATCCCCGTTACGGGTGGAAACATTAGGATATGTTTCCTGAAGACACACCTGCTGTCCAAGTTCACCTAACAGTAAAATAGGTACTTGGGAGTTAGTCGATTGGTGTGGATCGCATCCTGGGGACAAAACTGACCTCATTTGCGGGAAATGTTCAGCATAACAAGATACTTTCTATATAGTAGTACGTCACTGATGTCAACTATGGTCTGTATACCTTGTACATGTACTGGTAGAAATAAAGATATTATTATTATTATTATTATTATTATTATTATTATTCAGAGCATTTCGGGCAAATTACGATGCGACCCACACCAGTCAGCTAACACCCAGGTACGTATTTTATTGTTAGGTGAACAGTGGCAGTACCTGGAGTTTACCTAGAGAGAGTTTCGGGGGTCAACGCCCCCGCGGCCCGGTCTGTGACCAGGCCTCCTGGTGGATCAGCGCCTGATCAACCAGGCTGTTGCTGCTGTTGCTAGGTGTCTTAAGGAAACACGTCCTAATGTGTGAGCTGAGTTCGCTACCAAGAAGCAAGATCACCACCCATCTAGAAACCCATCAGTTACACAACCCAGGGCAACATGGGTTTAGAACAGGTCGCTCCTGTCTGTCTCAACTACTGGATCACTACGACAAGGTCCTAAATGCACTAGAAGACAAAAAGAATGCAGATGTAATATATACAGACTTTGCAAAAGCCTTCGACAAGTGTGACCATGGCGTAATAGCGCACAAAATGCGCGCTAAAGGAATAACAGGAAAAGTCGGTCGATGGATCTATAATTTCCTCACTAACAGAACACAGAGAGTAGTCGTCAACAGAGTAAAGTCCGAGGCAGCTACGGTGAAAAGCTCTGTTCCACAAGGCACAGTACTAGCTCCCATCTTGTTCCTCATCCTCATATCCGACATAGACAAGGATGTCAGCCACAGCACCGTGTCTTCCTTTGCAGATGACACCCGAATCTGCATGATAGTGTCTTCCATTGCAGACACTGCAAGGCTCCAGGCGGACATCAACCAAATCTTTCAGTGGGCTGCAGAAAACAATATGAAGTTCAACGATGAGAAATTTCAATTACTCAGATATGGTAAACATGAGGAAATTAAATCTTCATCAGAGTACAAAACAAATTCTGGCCACAAAATAGAGCGAAACACCAACGTCAAAGACCTGGGAGTGATTATGTCGGAGGATCTCACCTTCAAGGACCATAACATTGTATCAATCGCATCTGCTAGAAAAATGACAGGATGGATAATGAGAACCTTCAAAACTAGGGAGGCCAAGCCCATGATGACACTCTTCAGGTCACTTGTTCTATCTAGGCTGGAATATTGCTGCACTCTAACAGCACCTTTCAAGGCAGGTGAAATTGCCGACCTAGAAAATGTACAGAGAACTTTCACGGCGCGCATAACGGAGATAAAACACCTCAATTACTGGGAGCGCTTGAGGTTTCTAAACCTGTATTCCCTGGAACGCAGGAGGGAGAGATACATGATTATATACACCTGGAAAATCCTAGAGGGACTAGTACCGAACTTGCACACGAAAATCACTCACTACGAAAGCAAAAGACTTGGCAGACGATGCACCATCCCCCCAATGAAAAGCAGGGGTGTCACTAGCACGTTAAGAGACCATACAATAAGTGTCAGGGGCCCGAGACTGTTCAACTGCCTCCCAGCACACATAAGGGGGATTACCAACAGACCCCTGGCAGTCTTCAAGCTGGCACTGGACAAGCACCTAAAGTCAGTTCCTGATCAGCCGGGCTGTGGCTCGTACGTTGGTTTGCGTGCAGCCAGCAGCAACAGCCTGGTTGATCAGGCGCTGATCCACCAGGAGGCCTGGTCACAGACCGGGCCGCGGGGGCGTTGACCCCCGAAACTCTCTCCAGGTAAACTCCAGGTAAACTAGACATTAGAATTACTGAAACATTAAAGAAATGGTTATAACTAGAAGTTCATAATTTTATTGTTTTTTTTTTTTTACATGGTGTTCCTAAATAGGCTGTGTCAAATACGTGGTTATGTTAGAGAAATAAGGGGTGGTAAGCCAGTGGAAGGCCTCGGTCACATAACCAAAAAGCTCCACGACGGGTCACATGACTAAGACCCGCGTCAGGAAATACTTGTCCTGTTTCCTGACAAACCTTACCTAACCTAACTGAGAGATTTCATTTGATTTTAGATCATCTGTAAACCAAGAAATTAGAACCTCACAGGGTATATACACAGAGAGAATTTACTTAATTCCCTGTTTCAGGTATTAAAATATTCTTGCCTAATGGTGAAAAAGACTACACACAGCCTTTAATGACCCTTGTGTAGACGCTAGGCTTTAAACCCCCATTTACCAACACCACCTCGACACCTTATCTAAAAATTATTATTTAGGCTTCATAATATGTCTCAATTAGCAACTTCAGTACCATTAGAGAGCCAAATCTCTGCTGGAATATAAATATCTGAGTACAGAATATCCTCTTCACCACATTACATCACTACAAAATGCACTGCTCACAAGAATTAAATTATATGGCTTCAAAATAATAGTGAACAACCATAGTTCACAATAGACTGATCAACTCACGGTTCACAATAGACTGAACAATCCATGGCCTACAATAAACTTACACAAATCAATCACTACGAACCATATTAAAGACAATTAGCATTACGTAGGTCTTGTCTCTGGAAAAAGTAAACAGTACTAGGCCTGGTCTCCAGTTCACAACCCTCACAAGACTAGTTACAGCATCTAGGGAAATTCCTATTGATAATTACAGCAAATTTGGATTCAGACCCAATGAAGAATAAGAACAAAAAAAAAAATGAAGGAATTCTGAAGCAGGTCTACTTGTCCTTTCTTGGACGATCATGAATACTTGACGAAAACGATTATAGTATTGCAGCTCGGTTGATAACACACTCATCTCACATACTGAGTGTCCTTGGTTCGATACATGGCATGGGTAGAAACTGTGGGTATGTTTCCTTACACCTGCTATCCATGTTCACCTAGCAGTAAGTACCCGGGTGTTGGTCAACTTTTGTGGGTCTCATCCTAGGGGACAAGATTGAAAACAAACCCTATTTCTTCGTGATCTCAAGTCTTCGATGAGACAGACTTTTTTAGGTTATCCCGGGTGGTTAACCCTCCCTCGGGTTAAAACCCCAAACAAATTTTATCTTACCAAGGCACAAGCCTCGAAGTATATCAATATTACCATAGTTATCCCTCAAACAAAACTTCATTTTTTATGAATTACGAAATGTAAATAATTGATGACTAACTAATATATTTGGACAGTGCTCCTTGGCGTAACATTTTGTAAGTAAGTAAGTATGTTGTATGTTTATTCAGGTATATACACAAATACAGTTACACAGATTATCATACATAGTGGTATATGTGTAGAGAACCTGGAATAACCCAAAAAAAAGTCAGAGAAAGTGACCTCCATGGGGGTCCTTGTAAATGAATTAAGTTCATGTAGGTACAGGTACGTACTGATAAGTACAATTATCATAATAATATCTTCATGTCTACAAGTACATGTACAAGGTATACAGATCATATATATATAGCCTGAGCTTGCTACCACCTGCAGCTCATAAGACTGCCATCCCCACGAGCCCCTTTGTGGGGCGGGGCAGATGGCAGACCAGAGGCCTAGCTTCTCCCTACGAGCCCCGTGAGGGCGGGGAATGTGGCTAGGCTTAGGGACAGTTGGTCCCAAAGATGAGGGGGTACTTGTACCTCCTCCCATGGGAGACTTACGTCTCGAGACACTCCCCAGATAGGGAGCCAAGGCCGGGTCACCACTACTTGGAAAAGACCCGGGCCGGGAGAATACCGGCGAATAAAAAAAAAAAAAATACAGATCATAGTTGACATCAATGACATACTACTATATTATAGAAAGTTGCTTGTTATGCAAAGCATTTCGGAAAATTAGGTCAGTTTTGTCCCAGGATGCGACCCACGTCAGTACAATAACACCCAGGTACCTATTTCACTGATGGGTGAACACAGGAAGATCGACACCATGCCTAACCCTTCTAGGGTAGGGTAGGTGCCTGAGCCCGACCCTTAAGCTCACAAGACTGTCATTCCCATTAGCCCCCTTGGGGCGGGGATGGCAGACCAGAGAGGCCTAGCTTGTGGCTAGGCCTCGGGACAGTTGGTCCCAAAGATGAGGAGGTACTTGTGCCTCCTCCCATGGGAGACTTAGGTCTCAGACACTCCCTAAAGAAGGAGCCAAGGCCGGGCCACCACTTGGAAAAGGCCCGGGCCGGGAGAATACCGGCTAATCTTTAATAATAATAATAAATACATACTATTCCCATTTCAGGGGATCTTAAAGAGACAACTCCTTCTTGATTCGCTGGTAATCTCCCGGTCCGGGTCTTTCCCAGATGGTGACCCGACCTTGGTTCCCTGTCTTGGGAGTGTCTGAGACTTATGTCTGTCATGGGAGGAGGTACAAGTACCTCCTCATCTT